GACCCCAGGGTCTGCCCCACCCTTGCAGACTTAACCCCTGGGTCATAACTTTGAAACGGTTGAGATCCCCACCCCAAAACTATATATACAAATGCTGGGCAAAAAGAGACAAATGCAGTCACGATATTAGAATTGATCCTGGGGTCTGGCCACAACCCTAGGGACCTAGTTTCTGAGTCAAAGCTTGGAAACAGTTGAGATCCCCACCCCATAACCATACATAAAATTGCTGGGCATGAAAAATCTAATACAGATATGCTACAAGGATTGGCCTGGGTTCTGGCATATTCCCTTGATCTCATTTGGAGAATATTTTGCCATGATTGCTTAGGTATCCAGGTGAGCGATACAGGCCCTCCGGGGCTCTTGTTCCCTAAAAAAAATGTCTAGAATGCCGAGAAAATTGACCTCTGATATGAAACTTTGACACAAATATCTACTTTCTCATGTCATTTATTAGCTCGTCTATTAGAAGAATAGGGGGGCTATAGCAGTACCCAAGGCGTCACTGTCGCCGTCCCACTTGGTTAAAGTTTTTGGGAAAGCTGTGTTTTGGTGTTTAACTCAACTTTTAATTAAATTTACATTGTAATATGGTTACAGCAATTGCTTGGAGGTTCCTTAGCAACAAATTTGACCATGTTTGCTCATTATTGGTCCAAAACACAAGTCTTTTAGAATTGGTTAAAGTTTTTGGGAAAGTTCCAAAGGTTAAAGTTTTAGGGCAAGTTCTAGTTCTTTTCAAACTACTGGGCAGATTTCAACCAAATTTAGCAGGAAGCATCCTTAGGGGAAGGGGATTCAAGATTGTACAAATAAAGTCCCTGAACCCCCAGGGACAGATGGGCAGAGCATCCTCCGAAATAGGAGCTTGTAAAATAGTAGGTAAAATAACTATTTCTACATTGTTTGAGGAAGACCTTGAAACTTTTAGACAGGGTAGATATATGTATGGAAGAGTGCACAACATTTTCAGATTTTTGATATGACCCCCCAGAGGCCGGGCAAGAAGGGTGGTTTCAAATGTTAAAAAAAAAATGGTCTTATAGCATATCAAATTAAACATTATCATGGGTTCTACATTTTAAAGCAATTTATTTTAACATATGGTGTAAGGAGGGGGGGGGGGGGGGGGGGGGGGGGATTACTTGAGGGATAAGGGGTAAAATAACTTTTTCTATGCTGTTATAGTCTTTTAACTTTCAAATCTACAGTAATTTATTTTTGCATATGGTAATCAGGGGGGAGGGGTTAGGTGTTACTTTGGGGGGATAGTGAGAGTGTGCCATCAACAATGTAGTTCTAGTTTCCCGATCTATTATCTAAGATTGGACATCCTGTAATGGCCCTATTACTATAAGCACTTTTTGCAAAAATAATTTTAATAGACGAGCTATGCTGTTCTCCTACAGCTCTTGTTAATTGAACATGTTATTTGTTTATGAATTTAATGACTTAAGATCTTTTGTCGGTTAACACTTACATATTTTAAAGAAACAAAACATCTAGTCGAAAAATATGCATACATGCATGGTAGGTACTTATCTCCATCTCATAACTAAACCCTAGATCACGTTTGACATAAAATGTATAGTTATAATCATACAGTTAGTCATAATTCAGTCTGCCCTATAGGAATTAAATGACAAAAGAGATGCTGTGATACGATTTAAGAGAATTGCAGAATACCGTGAATAGTTCAAGTTCTTTATTAACTTTAAGTCTTACGACTTATCAGTGTTAAATCTTTTTGTTGACCAGGGACTGTCTTCAGGCCGCCGTCCATCACAATGAGGAGCCGGTCATCCGATGTCCTTATATGGATTCTGAAACCGTCTGTAATGCCCAACTCCAACAACGTGAGATCAAATCGGTGAGTGAATTTTCAGGCCTTAAAGGAAAGGGGACAGGCCTTAAAGGAAAGGGGACAGGCCTTAAAGGAAAGGGGACTGGCCTTAAAGGAAAGAGGACATTTCCGTTAGACGCAACTAAAATGCAGCTTGTGACTGATTGACTGACGTAAGTGAAGTGGGTTAATTAGGTGCAGTACTTATTCAGGAATTTGAAGGTGAAACTAAGGTTATCAGTTATGCGAGTGGGACACTTTCCGCGTTGAAAGAAGATATTCGACCTCACAACCCTAACACCAGTGACCACAGATTCTAGCCATATTTTAATTAGGGTCCACAGTCCAGTTTCAGAGATATTTATATCCATCAAATTTCACACAACACATACCAAATGTGTGTAGACATCACTCTGTCCCTTTAACTTAAAAATTAATACCCTATTTGTAGTTAGTTTCTATTTTACTTTGTAGCTTTTAGGTCACCTGAGACAAAATCTCAAGTGACCTATTGCGATCGCCTTTTGTCCGGCAGCGTCCGGTGTCCGTAAACAATTTACATTTTCGACTTCTTCTCCAAAACCCCTGAACCAATTTCAATGAAATTTTGTAGAAACCTTCGATGGCCAAAGGTCAAAACCCAGGGGCCTGAGGGGCGGGGCCAAAAAGGGTCAATTGACTAATATTTCAAAAATCTTCTTCTCAAGACCCAGTTATGGTTTGATAGTATGCACATATGAGCCCTGACTGACCCCCAGGGGCTGATGGTTGGGGCCAAAAAGGGTTGAATTGACTGAAATTTCAAAAATCTTTTTCTTAAGACCCAGATATGGTAGAATCAAATACTCTCTATAGATGGAAGGGTCTTAAGGTGCTTTACCAAAATTGTGAATTTCATGACCCTGGGGTCTCACGTTTCCCCCTGGGGAGGGGGTAAACTTTACTATAGTTTATATAGGGAAATCACATTTTGGACCAACATTTGTTTAATTTCCATTGGAAGTAATTCAATTTGGGTTAGCATTATCAGTATTGGATAGCAATTTGATGGTATGCACATATCAGCCCTGACTGACCCCCCGGGGCTGATGGGTGGGGCCAAAGACCCAGATATGGTAGAATCAAACACTTTTCATAGATGGAAGGGTCTTAAGGTTTATGACCCTAGGGTCTCACATTTACCCCCTGGGAAGGAGGGGAAGGGGGGGGGGGGCAGCAAAATTTATTATGGTTTATAATGGTAAATGATACTTTGAATATCACATGTTAATAACTTGATTGGAATTATAACCCTGAGTTGACAGTTCGATAGTTTGAAAAGTTTGAGCCAGCACTACCCCCAAGGGCTGTAGGGTGCGGCCCAAAGGAGTCAGTGTGCTTAAATTTCTTCATTTTCCTTGTTTAGAAGCAGAGGTGCTAGTTTCAAATACTTTTAAGCTCACCTGCCCGAAGGGCAAGTGAGCTTATGTTATGGTGCGGCATCCGTCGTCCGGCGTCCGGCGTCCGTCTGTCCGGCGTCAACTTTTTGCTTTAAACAACTTCTTCTCAATAACCAAATGGCCCAGGAAGATGATATTTTGCCAGTAGCATGCTTGGATCAAGGGCTACCAAGTTTGTTCAAATAAATGACCTTGACCCACTTTCAAGGTCACAGAGGTCAAATATGTTAAAATCTTCTAACAACTTCTTCTCAATAACCAAAAGGCCCAGGGTACTGATATTAGGCCTGTAGCATGCTGGGATGAAGGGCTACCAAGTTTGTTCAAAATAATGACCTTGACCCACTATCAAGGTCACTGGTGTCAGATGTCTTTAAACTCTTCAAACAACTTCTCCTCAATAACCAAAAGGCCTTGAGTACTGATATTGGGCCTGTAGCATGCTGGGATGAAGGGCTACCAAGTTTGTTCAAAAGAATGACCTTGATCCACTTTCAAAATCACTGGTGTCAGATGTCCTTAAACTCTTCAAACAACTTATCCTCAATAACCAAATGGTCGATGGTACTGATATTTGGCCTGTAGCATGCTGGTATGAAGGGCTACCAAGTTTGTTCAAATGAATGACCTTGATCCACTTTCAAGGTCACTGGTGTCAGATTCTTTAAAATCTTCAAACAACTTCTTCTCAATAACCAAATGGTCGAGGGTACTGATATTTGGCCTGTAGCATGCTGGGATGAAGGGCTACTAAGTTTGTTCAAATAAATGACCTTGACCCACTTTCAAGGTCACTGGGGTCTAATGTCTTAAATCTTCAAACAGCTTCTTCTCAATAACCAAAAGGCCTTGGGTAATGATATTGGGCCTGTAGCATGCTGGGATGAAGGGCTACCAAGTTTGTTCAAATAAATGACCTTGACCAACTTTGTAGGTCACAGGGGTTGAAATATGTTAAAATCTTCAAACAACTTATTCTCAATAACCAAAAGGCCCAGGGTACTGATATTAGGCCTGTAGCATGCTGGGATATAGGGCTACCAAGTTTGTTCAAATGAATGACCTTGACAAACTTTCAAGGTCATTGGGGTCAGATGTCTTTAAAATCTTCAAACAACTTCTCAATAACCAAAAGGCCCAGGGTACTGATAATGGGCCTGTAGCATGCTGGGATGAAGGGCTACCAAGTTTGTTCAAATGAATGACCTTGACCCACTTTCAAGGTCACAGGGGTCAAATGTCATAAAATCTTCAAACAACTTCTTCTCAATAACCAAAAGGGCCAGGGTACTGAAATTAGGCTTGTATTATGCTGGGATGAAGGACTACCAAGTTCGTTCAAATAAATGACCTTGACCCACTTTCAAGGTCACTGGGGTCTAATGTCTTAAATCTTCAAACAACTTCTTCTCAATAACCAAAAGGCCCAGTGTACTGATATTGGGCCTGTAGCATGCTGGGATGAAGGACTATCAAGTTTATTCAAATGAATGACCTTGATCCACTTTCAACCTAATGTCCTTGTTCAACAATCAAGGTCAGAGGCGTCATGTGTTTAAATCTTTTAATAGGTTCTTATGAAATCTTAAGATTACAAGTGTTAGATTAATAACTGGTGAGCGATGCAGGCCCATTGGGCCTCTTGTTAGTCTTAAATCTGTATGCTAGATATTGAATAAAGTGGTTTTATTGTTTTTTGTCACTTTGAATAATATTTCTGTTCGTGTTAAAAACAAAATCAACTATCTGTATAAATATATCAGGTGACCGTTAAGGCCCATGGGCCTCTTGTTTAGTCTTATGTATGTATTGGTAATTAAAGAAGTTTCATTGCTTATCTAACATACACTAATTCCTTTTTTTATCGTGAATTTAACTCATTCATCCCTGAAGACACATTTGACTCTTCCAATTCAAAGGTTGGAATAGTTCATAAGGACATTTCAGTGTGTGTAAGATAGAGCTGTCCAGGGTAAGAAAGGGGGGAAGGACATTTCTTTCTATCATTTCTGTGTGTGTAAGACAAAGCTGTCCAGGGTAAAAAAAGGGGTGAAGGAAATATCTGTCTTACACCCTATTTCACATGACGTGACATCACAATGGCTCAACAATGACTTGACGTCACAAATTTGGAACTCTGCGATGCCGCAATGCGGAAAAGGCAACTTGATGAAATTAAAACCTTTTACAATATATTTACCATACACGTTAGAACGATGAGATTAACTTTATGCGCAAACATCGTTTGCAAATATGGGATATGCTTAATCTGACTGGCTAATTCATTTTCGTCTAAAAAGTTCAGGGGAAAATTGATATTTTAAAATGGTGGCCAGTCCAAACGCATTTTCATGGTTTCTGAGCTTATTCTGGTGGTTGGAATGAGAGAAAAATACTCTTTCATGCCCTAGGGTGTAAAAGCCTCGGGTTTCACCAAATTTGAAAACCCCTCGGGTGGAATTTCCCTATCCTACACCACTGTGCATGAAAGAGTCTTAATCTTACACCAAATCTAACGTACATGACATCACAACAGGAAAACAATGATGTGACATCGGGAAATCGGACCCTTCTGATGCCACAATATAGAAATTATGACATTTTTAGGGGGTGTCTGGTGATTGGAATGTAAGACAAATAATTTGTTATGCCCACCGATGTAAGGTAGGGAAATTCCACCCTCGGAGCTTTCAAATTGGTGCAAAAGCTTTTGCAGAGCCTTGGGTTTTACCCAATTTTAAAACCCACTTGGATGGATTATCCTACACCAATGGGAATGAAACAGTCTTATATTCATGTCCAGGGTTGTTATATTACTATTTATAGAGATTTTTGTCATTAAATTTATAGCCACTTTTCTTCCGAATGATTCTAGTCCAACTTAATAAAAAATATGTTTTAGGTTGCCAAGATCAAAGTTTACATTCATATTTATAGAAACTCTTCGCTATTACTTTAGCCAATTCTTTTCTGAATTTTGATCAAATGTCATACAATAGTCATTGTATAAAATACCTTAATTGTGTTTCCGGGTCCCGGTCAAGGTCAAGGTCAGCACTGTTTACTATCTATGAAAAAAGTTTGTCACACCTAAATTCTCCTGAAGAAACATTAATCCATTCACCTCTAAAGGCACATTTGAACCTTACTAAACCAAAGACTGGGCAAGTACAGTTTAGAAATAATAAAATTGAGTATCAGAGAATGAACGTGCTAAATGATATGCAGTTAAGTATGGTTGACAAGGTATATTTGATATGTCCCCTCTATTAGACTGTTTGTGTATTGCAATACATTAGGGGATTCATATTATTTGTGATGCTGTGCTATTTTATAGCTGTTAATTGTACCAACATAATATGATATTAGTGATACCAGGATTTGGACAATGCCTACTAGCAGGTTGTGGTTTGATACATGTTTACCTACACTGCAGACACAGCTAACTTGGAGGGGTGGCCTTGTCAGGGTATCATGTGACATAGTGGAGGGGTGTCCTTGTCAGGGAATCATGTGACATAGTGGAGGGGTGGCCTTGTCAGGGAATCATGTGAACGTAGTGGAGGGGTGGCCTTTTCAGGGTATCATGTGAACGTAGTGGAGGGGTGGCCTTGTCAGGGTATCATGTGTCATAGTGGAGGGGTGGCCTTGTCAGGGTATCATGTGTCATAGTGGAGGGGTGGCCTTGTCAGGGTATCATGTCACATAGTGGAGGGGTGGCCTTGTCAGGGTATCATGTCACATAGTGGAGGGGTGGCCTTGTCAGGGTATCATGTGACTTAGTGGAGGGGTGGCCTTGTCAGGGTATCATGTGAACATAGCGGAGGGGTGGCCTTGTCAGGGTATCATGTGACCTAGTGGAGGGGTGGCCTTGTCTGGGTATCATGTGACAGAGTGGAGGGGTGGCCTTGTCAGGGAATCATGTGAACGTAGCGGGGGGGTGGCCTTGTCAGGGTATCATGGGAACGTAGTGGAGGGGTGGCCTTGTCAGGGTATCATGTCACATAGTGGAGGGGTGGCCTTGTCAGGGTATCATGTCACATAGTGGAGGGGTGGCCTTGTCAGGGTATCATGTCACATAGTGGAGGGGTGGCCTTGTCAGGGTATCATGTGTCATAGTGGAGGGGTGGCCTTGTCAGGGTATCATGTCACATAGTGGAGGGGTGGCCTTGTCAGGGTATCATGTGAACGTAGTGGAGGGGTGGCCTTGTCAGGGTTTCATGTGACATAGTGGAGGGGTGGCCTTGTCAGGGTATCATGTCACATAGTGGAGGGGTGGCCTTGTCAGGGTATCATGTCACATAGTGGAGGGGTGGCCTTGTCAGGGTATCATGTGAACGCAGCGGAGGGGTGGCCTTGTCAGGGTATCATGTGACACAGTGGAGGGGTGGCCTTGTCTGGGTATCATGTGACATAGGGGAGGGGTGGCCTTGTCAGGGTATCATGTGAACGTAGCGGAGGGTTGGCCTTGTCAGGGTATCATATGAACGTAGTGAAAACTGATTATTGAGACAGTCCTTTCTGTTGTAGCTGGTTCCAGCGGAACTGTTCGAGAAGTATCTCCAGCGAAGCCTGAGTACAGCCGAGAGCCAGGAGCGGAACAGTTTCCACTGTAAATCTCCGGACTGTGCGGGCTGGTGTATCTACGAAGACATGGTCAACTTCTTTCAGTGTCCAGTCTGTAACCATGAGAACTGTCTCACCTGTAAGGCCATCCACACCGGACTGAACTGTAAACAGTATCAGGACGACCTGATGATTCGATCCAAAAACGACGAGGCTGCAAGGAACACACAACAGATGTTGGAGGTAACACCCCGACCCAAAATAAACCCCTTAGACTGCACATCATCTGTCAGTCACCTGTAATAAGAGAAAGTCTCAAAGGATTCTTGTCTTCAAAGTTTTATGGAAGTACTTTTTTGTGGAGAACTTTTTCAAGATTTTGTCTTCCTGTTGCTAAAAATAGAGTTCTGTTGGTTGGGCTTGTCCGGTTGATAACTCGAGACGAATGATTATACAAATTTTAAATTTGATGTGTGGATTGCCCAAATAGATCAAATGGCTACTTTGGCTACCGACAGCGCGCGAGCCCTGAGGTAGGATATATACAGGTATGAAAATCACAGGCATTAGTGATTGTTGTAATTGAGAGACATAATTTTCAGGGAGAGATACAGGATTGATGGGTACATGTATGACAGGTATAGGTATGAGCAATCCAGGTTTCAGGTAAGAAGCTTACAGGTATGAAAGATATCCATATCAGAGATGAAGGTGTGTAAGCCATACTGACAGGTATGATGATTACATGTATGCCATATTACATCTTTATGAAAAACATTTATTGGGCAATAATGGATTTAACCATCGAATGGCTAAAATTTGGATTGGTGAAAATTTCCCGGTATACATTTTATAAGTTATAGAATGATACAAAGAGTGACAATAAATTATTAACACTTTAAAATTTGTAGGATCAGAGGAATTGAAGGTAAAATGAAACAGACAAAAAGGAAAACATGGAAACTGTAAACGAATGTTTTATTTTTACAGAATTTGGTTAAGTCTGGTGATGCAATGTACTGTCCGGGCTGTAAGGTGATCGTACAGAAGAAAGACGGATGTGACTGGGTCCGATGTTCCATCTGTAAATTGGAGATCTGCTGGGTCACTAAAGGACCAAGATGGGGCCCTTTGGTGAGTATCTGTAAAATAGAGATCTGTTAGGTCATTAGGGGCCAAGATGGGACCCTTACTGCTAGGTCATTAATGGGTCATGATGAGACCCTTACTGCTAGATCATTAAAGGGACAATTAGGAACCGTTTTGTTTGGTCATTAAGGAGCCCAAATGGGGACCTTTCTGTGGGTCATTACCCAGTAAAGGGCCAAAATGGGAACGTTTTTGATGGGTCATTAATGGGTCAAAATGGGGACATTTTTGATGGGTCATTAATACTCTAAATTGGGGACCATTTGGTTTGGTCAATAAAGGTGCCAAAATGCAAGTCATTAAATGGCCAAGATGGGTCCTTTTTAGTCATAATGGGGCCAGAATGGGGACCTTTTTGATTTTATGTTTAAGGAGCCAAAATTGGGAGCTTTCTGATAGGGAATTAAGGGGCATAAATTGGGACTTGATTAAGGGACCAAGTTGTGGATCTTTGGGGGTCATTATATACCTAGGATCTTTGGATAATACCTTGACTACCAATGACTGCCTCTGTTAGTATTGTAGTGATATGGTGACATTTTATTTACAGGGCACTGGAGACATCAGTGGAGGCTGTGGATGTCGCGTAGGTGGACGTCGATGTCATCCACACTGTAACAATTGTCATTAACTTCAGCCATTCGTATCTATGACATCGCGTAGGTGGACGTCGATGTCATCCACACTGTGACGATTGTCGTCAACTTCAGCCATTCTTATCTTTGACATTGTGTAGGGGGACGTCAATGTCACCCACACTGTGCCAATTGTCATTAGGTCACCTGAGACAAAGTCTCAAGTGACCTATTGCGATCGCCTTTTGTCCGTCTTCATCCGTCGTCCGTCGTGCGTCCGTAAACAATTTACCTAATTAAAATAGTGGCCTGTTTAGTCCCAAGCCCCCAGGGACCTGAGGGGCGGGGCCAAAAAGGGGCAAATTGACTAAAATTTCAAAAATCTTCTTCTCAAGATCCAGATATGGTAGAATCAAATACTCTTCATTGATGGAAGGGTCTTAAGGTGCTTTACCAAAATTGTGAATTTCTTGACCCTGGGGTCTCACGTTTCCCCCTGGGGAGGGGGTAAACTTTACTATAGTTTATATAGGGAAATCACATTTTGGACCAACATTTGTTTAATTTCCATTGGAAGTGTTTCAATTTGGGTTAGCATTATCAGTATTAGGTAGCAGTTTGATAGCATGCACATATGAGCCCTGACTGACCCCCAGGGGCTGATGGGTGGGGCCAAAAAGGGTTGAATTGACTGAAATTTCAAAAATCTTCTTCTCAAAGACCCAGATATAATAGAATCAAACAATCTTCATAGATGGAAGGGTTTTAAGGTTTATGACCCTAGGGTCTCACGTTTACCCCCTGGGGAAGGAGGGGGCAAAATTTATTATGGTTTATAATGGCAAATGATACTTTGAATATTACATGTTAATAACTTGATTGGAATTATAACCTTGAGTTGACAGTTTTCTAAGACATAGTTTCATTATTCCTTTTTTTTTCTTTTTTTTCCCATTTTGTTGATCTACACAATGTCACATTGATTTTTTGAGAAATATTGGTATATTATGTACAGGTATGAATTGAATATCACAGGCATTAGTGATACTTGCATGAGAGATACGATTTTCAGGGAGAGATACAGGAATGATGGTTACAGATATGACAGATATAGGTGCGAGAGATCCAGGTATCAGGTAAGAGGCTTACAGGTATGAAAGTAACAGGTAAATAATGTAAACTTTATTTGTTTTACAACAATTATGAAACAAGTTATATGAACTTATATTAATCTCTCTTGTTGGCCTGGATGTTAGTGCGGGGGGGGGGGGGGGTCTTAAGGTAACAGGTATCAGATATGCAGGTGTGAGAGTCACAGATAATGATAATTACAGGTATGTCATATTACTAAGTACCTCTTTATGAAAAATATATGTATGTTTATAGGTGCAAGAGATATAAGAATGAAGGATTTTGGTTTCAGGATAGATACAGGTATGAGAGATCCAGTATAAGGGTTACAGGTATAAAGAATATAAGGAATACAGGTATGATATACACAGGTATGAAAGTCACAGGTATCATATGAGAAAATGGTTTGGTTTGTTTGTGTTTTACGTCCTATTAACAGCTATGGTCATTTAAGGATGTGCCATGTTTAAGTGGTGGAGGAAAGCCGGAGTTCCCAGAGAAAAACCACCGACCTACGGCCAGTATCTAACGATTGCCTCATGAAGGCACCGAACCTGTGACCCAGGGGTTAGTGATCGTAGACAGACAGACGCCTACTGGTAACCACTTGGCCACGCTGCCTCTAGGAATGAGAGATACAAATTTGATAGGTAAAAATAATCAATACAGGAGTAGACATACAGATATGAAGGTTACGGGTGTCAGGATTATAGGTACATTTACTTAGAGATACAGGTATCAAAGATAAACGTGTGACAGTAACAGGTATCAGATATACAGGTATGGAGGGGGTGATAGGTATATAAGAGCTACAGATGTGATAGATACATGTAATCATAGATACAGGTATGAGGGATACCGGTGTGAAGGATGCAGGTGTGAAGGATGCAGGTGTGTAGGATGCAGTTATGTGGGATACAGGTGTGAAGGATGCAGGTATGTGGGTACAGGTGTGAAGGATGCAGGTATATGGGATACAGGTGTGAAGGATGCAGGTATGAGAGGGATACAGATATGAGAGGGATGCAGGTATGGGAGGGATACAGGTATGAGAGGGATGCAGTTGTGAAGGATGCAGGTATGAGAGGGATACAGATATGAGAGGGATGCAGGTATGAGAGGGATACAGGTATGAGAGGGATACAGGTATGAGAGGGATACAGGTATGAAGGATGCAGGTATGACGGATGCAGGTATGAGAGGGATACAGGTATGAGAGGGATACAGGTGTGAAGGATGCAGGTATGAAAAATACAAGTGTGATAGATACAGGTATGAAAGATACAGTACAGGTATTCTACTTTATACAAGAGACACATTCAGAGATTCAAGTGTGAGAGGGATATAGTTTAGAAATATATGTATGCATACAAATTTTACTCAATACACAACGTGTGATAACTAATCAAAAGCTGTGACTGAGTCGTTCATCGGTGTAGATTTACACAGGTAAATTCTGTGTAAAGTGCTTTTTTCAATCCATCAAAAGTTTCAGTCGCATGCTTGGGTTGCTTCCATAAGCAATTAAGATAAAATTTGGTTTTAATCTTATTTTATTTATGCAAATAAATTCTGTTCAATTTGATCGAAAGGTTTAGTTGTGTACTCGTGTTTAAATGTTTTATTGGCAATTAAATGACAATACAAATCTGGCTTTAAATATAAGTGTGGTTGACGTGTCTTCACCTCTGTTTGACTTAAATCCATTATCAACACAAAAGGAGACGAAAAAGGGGAGAATTTCTGGTAATCCATTACGTCTGTGTCTAATTACACATATTTAGTATTGCTGATAAGTAACATTGTGCAGAAACGAATTTTATATATTTAACAAGTTAATTACCTTGAGATCCAAGAAAAAACTTGTCTCAAACCTAATGTATATATATATATTGGATGAGTATCTATGTCTAATGCATTTTAACCAAATACTTTTTCCGACTTATGCAAAAACATTACCTGCAGCATTCACTATAAGGTTAGTTGTGAAGAGTTCTGCAGTAGATCAACAAATTCCGAAACTGTAAAACTTGTGACCTTCATTTATTAGCTGTCAAGTGGCAATGTATTTGATTATTAGAAAATGTTAATAAGATTTATTGAATATTAAGCATTGTAGGAGGTATATATGATTATATCTATAAAATGAAAAATCTTAAAAACATTCAGATATATGTCCTTCACCATTTACATCTGATGGAGTCAAAACTAGCACAAAATCAACATGAACTAGCAATGAAATCATTAAATCACCTATACCACTTTGGATACTTCAAAAAAAAGCATGAAACCTGTTTTACCCAATAGTATAAGCCTTTTATCACATACCTGTTGAATCACAAGCAATTTTCAGACCATGAAATACAACGTTCCGTATTGCACATTACTAGCCAGAACTAATTTTTATGGGAATCCCCTTGTCATGGCGAACTGAAAAGCTGGTATTTGCAAAAAATATCAAAGTTTATAAAATCTTTGTATCAATCTCTACCAAATACGGAAGGTATGTGATAAAAGCAAGACTACACACTTGTGTTTTTCTAATGAATCAGAAAGCACTCATTTATTGCGCAGATGTATATATTAACTCATGAACTCCGCGCACTCGTGAATATATTCGTCCGCGCAATACACTCATGCTTTCTGATTCTTTAGGAAAACACAAGTGCGTGGTCTTGCATATATATATAATGGTGTAATAGCAGGAGGTATATATTACATTGTAATAGCAGGAGGTATATATTACAGTGTAATAGGATACATATTACATTGTTATATCAGGAGGTATATATTACAGTGTAATAGCAGGAGCTATATATTACAGTGTAACAGCAGGAGGTATGAATTACAGTGTAATAGCGGGAGGGATGAATTACAGTGTAATAGCAGGGGCTATATATTACAGTGTAATAGCAGGAGGATACATATTACATTGTTATATCAGGAGGTATATATTACAGTGTAATAGCAGGAGCTATATATTACAGCGTAATAGCAGGAGGAATATATAACAGTGTGATAGCAGGAGCTATATATTACACTGTAATAGCAGCAGGTATATATTACATCATAATAGAAGGAGGTATATATTACGTCATAATAGAAGGAGGTATATATTACAGTGTAATAGCAGGAGGTATATATAACAGTGTGATAGCAGGAGCTATATATTACAGTGTAATAGCAGGAGGTATACATTACAGTGTAATAGCAGGAGGTATATATAACAGTGTGATAGCAGGAGCTATATATTACATTGTAATAGCAGCAGGTATATATTACATCATAATAGAAGGAGGTATATATTACATCATAATAGAAGGAGATATATATTACATCATAATAGAAGGAGGTATATATTACATCATAATAGAAGGAGGTATATATTACAGTGTAATAGCAGGAGGGATACATTACAGTGTAATAGCAGGAGGTATATATAATAGTGTGATAGCAGGAGCTATATATTACATTGTAATAGCAGCAGGTATATATTACATCATAATAGAAGGATGTATATATTACATCATAATAGAAGGAGGTATATATTACATCATAATAGAAGGAGGTATATATTACAGTGTAATAGCAGGAGGTATATATTACAGTGTAATAGCAGGAGGTATATATCATATTGTAATAGCAGGAGGTATATATTACAGTGTAATAGCAGGAGGTGTATATCATATTGTAATAGCAGGAGGTATATATTACAGTGTAATAGCAGGAGCTATATATTTCAGTGTAATAGCAGGAGGTATATATTACATCGTAATAGCAGGAGGTATATATTACAGTGTAATAGCAGGAGGTATATATTACAGTGTGATAGCAGGAGCTATATATTACATTGTAATATCAGGAGGTATATATTACAGTGTAATAGCAGGAGCTATATATTTCAGTGTAATAGCAGGAGGTATATATAACAGTGTGATAGCAGGAGCTATATATTACATTGTAATATCAGTAGGTATATATTACAGTGTAATAGCCGGAGGTATATATTACAGTGTGATAGCAGGAGCTATATATTACATTGTAATATCAGGAGGTATATATCACATCATAACAGCAGCAGGTATATATTAGATCATAATGAAAGGAGGTATATATTACAGTGTAATAGCCGGAGGTATATATTACAGTGTGATAGCAGGAGCTATATATTACAGTGTAATAGCAGGAGTTATATATTACAGTGTAATAGCAGGAGCTATATATTACAGTGTAATAGCAGGAGGTATATATTAC